CTGATGAGGGTCGGAAATGCCATTATTCTGAGTTGTTGATTAAAGAGGGATTCACATGCTTTCCATGCCAGATGTGCAGGAGGTGGGGCTGTCGGCATGTGCTGAATGATTAGGAGCCTGATTTATATTCTCCCTGAGAAGCAGGGACAGTGGCAGTGTATTCCTCAGCAACTGAAGAAGGGAGAGAGAGAGAGAGAGAGAGAGAGAGAGAGAGAGAGAGAGAGAGAGAGAGAGAGAGAGTGTGTGTGTGTGTGTGTGTGTGTTATACTGATCTCATGCCAGGTATCATGCTGGGCACTTACATTATCTTCTTTAGTTTTCACTATGATTCTTTTGAGATAAATGTGTTACTGAGATTTCTGGTGACCAGGAATTATTGTTGTTTTCATTAATTTCACAGGAATGTTGTCAGCCAACTCTCAGTATAGATAGATGCAGACAGTCACGTTAGGACACATCTTTCTGTTTAAGGAAGAGCGGTCAAGTAGCCTGTCTTATTTATGTAAATATAGGACAAGTAGGCATGCCCTACCCTGGGGAAGATTATCAAAGCACTTGTTTTGTGCTTGACTATGTTTTTCCCTACAAATTTCTCTGAATCTTTAGAACTCATAGATTGAAAGGGGCTTTGCACATTTGCATAGGATCAAGAAGCTCCAGTATTAGAACATCTTTGAACAAATGCTCCCCAACCTGAATTCAGTTCTGAAAGAGCAGGGTTCGCCTCTGTATCCATCAGACTAGATGGAGTCTAGTATGAGTAGCAGGTACTGTGTAAATATTTCTTGACTGAGTTATTCTATAACTCTTTACACTGAGCCATCATTTTCCAGGCTAAATTTTTACTTTTCATTTTTCAAAATTAACTCCCCATTCACTAACCTTCCTGAAATAACAAAAGTTTGGGAAGCTTTTAAAGTTTATTATTCACACTCAATGGAAAATTACAAAATCAGGTCTGCCCTAAAATATAGTATTTGTTTGTTTCTCCTTGTTTGTTATAAGTAGGGAATGTGCAAATACATGATCTAATATTTATGCCAAGTTGTTTAAAAAAGGTAAAAAAAAAAGGTGGTAGATAATGAAAGGATATTTTGAGCCATTTAATGTTAGAATTGTTCTGTTATTAGAGAGGTCTAATTCTTCTGATTTTAGTAATGTTTCGTCACAGGAATCTATCATAAATTTGTGTTTTTGAGATGACATATGTTGTTTGTAAAAAGATTTCAACTTAAATCTTTGAATGGATTTAGCTTAATTCTACTCCAAATGTGTTATTTTGATGTTTTTAGAAATCTTTGCAAAATCAAGAGATGACAGAGCTAGATTTAATTTTAGTTAACAATCTGGCAATAATCTGATGATCTTTAACTTGAGAGGAAATCAATATAATTTCATTCAACTCAATAAGTATATATTGAAAGTCAGCTCTGTTCCAGGCATCATGGCATGAATAAAGGATGTAAAATGAAAAACGTGGCCCCTGTTTCAAAGAAGCTTATAGTCTAGGAGCAGCAGATACTAAGAAAATTATTATAATGCAGAAAGAAGAGGCGGAATGATATCTAAGGGGCTGGTCTTTATTGAACACAGCAGTGTCTATCCACTGTAACAGGAGAGAAGACAGAAAAACAATTTACAGATATAGGTAGTATCTGTTCTGAATTGAGAGGTTCATTTCATCTTAATCTTCTTTATCCACTTAATCTCTCTATTACTATTATGGTATCATCAGATTTAAGGCACTTAAATTTTAGATTTTAGATTTTAGGCTTAGAATAAGCTTAACAGAGATGCTGACTTTTGATCTTATGTAGACTGTCTATTTGAAGGATTAAGAGACTGAGATAAACAATGAAGCATGGACAGTTATATGGCCAGTAATGCTGGCTCCGTGGTTAAAGATGTAAATGAAATTTTCTCTCAATTTATTTTATAGATTGTTATAAATATTTTTAAATGGTTATCATAAATTATCTTGGTTGTATTTTTACCTCTTGGTACAGCCTCTCTAGAAATCATTGCTATTCTGGCAGATAATTCTCCTACACGATCATGTCAGTCAAGAGATGTCTGAAAAATATTAAATTCAGAAGGGTGTTTGCATTTTCCCTGACATTATTACTTTTCAAATATGTCCCAGGACTACTATGTTACGCACTTTCCCTACATTATTCCAGTTAATCTTACAACAATCACATACATCTGTTGCCTTTTTCTCATTTTAAATGAAAAAATTGAGTCACAAAGTCAGCAAAATATAAGGTGTATGTGGATGAGATTGTTTTTTCTTTTGTCCCCTGCTGTATCCTCAGAGCCTAAAACACAGCCCAGAATTCCATGGATCCTCATAAATGTATGTTGAATGAAAGAGAGGATGGTTGATAGAGGATTCGCTCAAGGTCACATAGCTAGTAAAGGTAGAGTACAGACCCCAGTTCAGGTCTGTTTGATTGCAAAGCCTCTGCTTCTAACTTCTGTGCTCTCTTACCTGCCCTTGACATAGAACTGTCTTTTGGATCATTTTCAGACAACTGAAAGAATCATGATGTCTAATGTTTCCAGAGGATATTTCCAGAGATAGCAACTGACCTGCTGCCCCCGGTTAATCTTTACCAAGAACTAGATCGGTAGTAGAGGCAACAGTTCTTGTTTTAAGGACACCTAGAGACAAGACAGTGATGGCTACTTTGCCCTTAGTGTTGACCAAAGTTGGAGTTTTTAAGGATATATCTTAGGAGTGAAATGACATCCTATATGTAAGGTGCTTAGTAAGTATGTAGTTGTGAGAACTAAGGAGTTGACTATAAATTTTGTAGAAAGCACAATGTGCTATTATTTTAAAATTTTAAAGCAAATGATGGCAGTGCTCCAGAGTGACTTTCGATAGCAAATCCAATGTGCCCAACATGCCATACAATAAAATAGTCACTTATATGACTGAATGAGTTTCCTATTTGCCTTCTTATTTTAATATAACAAGGGTACTAGGAAATATATTTTTGAAATTTCATCCCAAGCACTTAACAAATATTAATTCACTTAACCTTCATAACAACCTTTGAGAGAGGTACCATCACAGATGTTTCCATTTTACGGATTAGATTTTTTCTGTCAATAATCTGTTCATCTGTGGTTTGAGAGGAACTGGAAACATGGAAATGCTAAGTAATCTGCCAAGATCACACAGCTGGTGAGTGCAGAGATAGGATTCAAGCCTCGACAATTTGACTTCAAGTATGTGTTATTAGCCAGAGCTCCCTACCAGAGGGAACAGTGTAGTCAGGCTAAAGCCCCAAACTTTTGGGGGCCTGAAGCTGGCTTTCTTTGTGGCCCTACAACAAAAAGAAGAGATTTATTATGCTGCCAGTGGAGCCAGGGTGACACTTGTCCTGCACACTAATCCTGCTGGCACACCTGGAGTAACAGTACCTATGCTTATAGTAGTTACCAGCAGTAGTGGAGGCCACTATCTTCCAAAGTTTTCAGTAAACTTTAAATTCTCCTATCCAAGTATAGGGCTGTTGTTTATTATCCCCCTGTAATTCTTTCTTGGGGGTTTTAGATTACTTAGCCTGAATATAAACTCTAAGGGCAGGGCCTTAACTCCTGTTCCGTTTAGGTTCCCCACAGGGGCAAACACTGGGCTCTGCACTCAGGAGATCCACTTCCAAACTCACCAGCCAAGCCTCATGCGCGCGGCTCTTTCTTTACAAAGTTTTGATTAATGTCTCTGTGACTCACAGCAAAACCACTTGTCTGATTTGATTGGACTTAGATGGAACCCTAAGGCTATACTGTCTAATGAGCTGGAAGAGAGAGAGTCCCCCAATACAGACTCAACCCTAAGGGGTGCAGGGTGAGGGGAGATCTCTGACTAACACTGCAACTAATGAAAATAGGAAAAGTCATTGTCAAACCGAACGCGAATACACTGACTCTGTTCCATACCATTGTCATTCCCGGGCAATGTCCTGGGTGTCTGGCTATGGAGGATGTTCGAAGGGGTGGACATGATGGGGGTATGGGCAGGGCAGGCCTGAGGCAGCTGTCAACTCTTCTCTGAGGCCTGTGTAGGTGCCTCCCTCACTGTTGGGCTGAGCTCACACATGGATGTTTTCCTGTTCTCTGCCAACCCCCTGACTAATTCTATAACTAAATAAAAGCCCTTCCTCCCTTTCTCTCAGCAGCTGACCACAGCACTTTTCCAGCTATTTCCATGAGAAAATTCATTCCATTTCAATTCATCTCAATGGAGGAATGTCTTTTTAATGTCCTCCACATCTATTCTTCCCTGCTTCTCATTTCACTTCCCAAATGTTTTTGAGACTTTTCAGCGCTTGTGCTTCTCAAATTTTAATGCCTATGAGTCACCTATGGCTCTTAATAAAATTCCATTTCTGACTCAGTAGATCTGGGTGTGGCCTGAGATTCTGTATTTTAAAGAAGTTCCCAGGTGGTGCCAAAGATCCTGCTTTATGTAGAAGGTTCTGAGGCAGTTTGCTAGCAGCACAGTGAATGCTGTTGCAGGGCAGACTTAAAGGCTCTTGGCTGCAGGGTAGAGTAAGTTAGTGCACAATGTGATGTCAGAGGAAGATGAAGAAACAAAATAATTCTGATTCTTTTTCTCCATCTCAAATCCTTCATGCTTCTTGCTTCGTGTAACAAATGGCTCTGTTTTCCTAAGAGCTATACACACCCACCTCCAGTGACAGCTGTCTTCTTCTAAAGATGTATCAGAGAAGGAGAGGGGGTAGGATTACTCATTACAGTCACGATTTGCTCCATCCCACATTGCAGATGGAAAAACTGAGGCATGAAGAGGCAAATCCTCTGAACTATAAACTAATCCAGCATAAAGCACTACCATTTACAACCAAGAGTGTATGACATCAGAACTAGGTGAGCTCTGATTGGCTAGAATCTTCAGAATTTATGCATTGCAATCGGAACTACTCCTTCCATTCAGTTCTTAGATTAAATCTTAGATAAACCAACATTCTAGGAGGACTCTGAGCAGCATGGCAAGTCATTTCTTTCCACCCTCCAGGTTACCTTCTCTGACTAATTCATTGTTTTCATTCAACAAATATTTACTGAGTACCTCCTAGCCCAGGCTTTGTATTATTTTAGAGAATACCAAGAAGTGTAAACTTGTTTCTTATCCTGAAGAGGAGGCAGATGCACAAAGAAAGGGTGAGATGAGGAGAATGGTTATCAAGTCCCAACCACATGCCAGAGGTTATGCAGCCTTTTGCAAATGGTCATAATAGAGGTGAGCACAGATGGTTTCATTCTGCCAGGGTTGGGGGTGGGTGGGTGGGTGGAAAGATACCAGTGTGGTGCCATTTCAGCTCAGTCTTGAGAAATGAGTGGGAATTTGTGGCAGAGAAGGCACAGAAGGGCATTCTGGGCATTGGGAAGACAGCATGAGCAAGGGTGAAATTTTATACGGTGTGCTTATGCCTTGGGGTGCTTGAGCCTCGGGGTGGTCCTGGGGGACAGGAGTAGGTGTCCCCTTGGCAGCTTTTACCATTTCTGCTGGGCCCCCATCCACATGATGTTGCTGGTTCTGAGCAGCCTGCCCCTCCATCCCAGCCAGAACACTAATTACCTGTCAACTGGAGCGAGAGAGGCTTAGGACACACCTAGCAAGGACTAGAAAGAATGTTAATCAAAGCCTTTCTGAGAAAGTGATTAAAATTTCCAGTGTGTTCTACAAGCCTTCTGCTTCTCCAGAATTTTCAATGCAATTATTATCTCATTCTTTGGGAGCAAGAAGCTTTCAAGAGAAGCTTCCTGAGCAACCCTGACATTTCTGAATCAGAGCCTGCACTCTGGCTGACTGAGGAGGCCTGACAACTCCCTCAGCATCTCCAGCTGGGACCTGACGCTGCCTGGCCAGCTCTTTGCCGGCTCTTTGCTTGGGGTGAGCCTCCCACATCCTCCCGCTGAGCACCGCATCCTCCCGCTGAGCACCCCAGACCACAGCGTGGCACACACCCACACCCCGGGGTCCCTAGGCCTCTCATCTGCTGAGAAATGCAGGATTCTCAAGAACAGCTGCTTAAATACAATGGTTCTCAGGCATCCTTGCATATTCCGTGTCCTCAAGGAACACTTCTAACAGCGCAGGTGGTCCCTCCCTACTTGCAGAGTCAGAGCCAGAGACTCTGAAACCAACTGTGAAAATGATTAGCACAGGAGGCCAAGTTTGAGAATACTAACCCCGGGGTTTGGAAATCTCCCTAATGAGAGCACCTGGGCTCCTTCTATCCACTTTATGGGGTCTCCCCATATAGACCTGGGCTCAGCTTCTGATCTGAGACAAAAGGTCGATGGGAGTCAGAGATTCAACCTCATTGAGTTCCCAGCCTCCTCCATGGCTCAGAAATGGAGAAAATGAACTTTTTATTCTTCCAATCCCATTCTTCATGCCCCATCACTTCTGTGACATACGACTAAGTGACCGAGCAGATACTGACAGCACCTGCCTGTCCCTTCCCAACTGTGGGCCGCAGGAGGGTGGTGTGAGCCTTCCCATGGGACACGGAGCCTGTCCTCTGTCCTCCAGCAGCGCCTCTCCATGCTGCACCACCTCCTTGAGCAAAGGAATCTTTGAAAACCACTTCCAGCCTGGCTGTGCTTTGTGAAATGCTGCCCAGATGAGAAGGAGCTCACAAATGGGGCACTTCCCCCACTACAGCCAGCAAGAGGGAGGTGCCTGCCAAGAGGCATAGACTTTTTGGAATGTTTGCATGAGCTGATAGAAACAAGGGCCTCTGTCACACTTCTGTCACACCTCACCCCAGTGTGTGGGGAAAGCGCTTAGAATGGATGTGAGTCGGGCTCAGAGACACACAAAATTGATGCCACCAGCAGCAGTGCCATTTTGACTGCAGTCTTAAAGCTACAACCTCCTGGTTTCTCCTGCAGAAAGGGAAACAACAGAAAAGTCATCCGGGCTTTTTCTGAAGTGATTGGAGCATGTTGAAGGTGCTGTCTATAGCCTCTTCTGGCCTCGCCTGCCTTTGCCCTCCAAGAGCCCAAGTCGAGTCAGGCTAATTACCTGTATAATTTCCCTGGTGCCTACACGGGGCTGCAGGTGCTCTGTCTGCTGGAAGCTGGGCCATCTGTCAGGTACCTCTCTGCAGTCTCCCCTGGCTCCTGCTCACTGACACAGCTCCATTAGTGTGGGGGATGACAGCTCTGCTATGATATTTGTTTTGCTTCTGACAGATTTTCATCTGAGAAGGGGGTAGGGGATTCCCCTCCACCCTTTGCGTCAGCTTTTGATACCAGAATTGTCAGGCCTAGTCTCTCAGCCAGAAACAGATCCCAGGCTGCAGTGCTGAGCCCCAGCCACTAGACCACCACGGGCTGGTGTCTCACGAAGCCGCAGCAGGAACTTTGCAGACGCTCAGACAAGCAAGCGAGAAGAGGCGGGTTTGTTTAGAGAAAGAAAAAGTTTATTGAGGAGAAAAGGAACAGAAATAAAGCGGGACTCCCAGGCCATGAAACCAGGCCAGGGAGGGGCAAGGAAGCCAAAGTGGAGTCGTGTCTCAGGGAATATAGACCTTCTTTCCCTCATTATTCTAAAGCTGCACCTGTCTCTGTGATTGGTTAGTTCTCAGCTGTCTCACTTCATCTGCTACTGAGTGGGGGATCTTCACATTCCTCATCTAACAGGTTTGTCTTTCCCCATTTGTTGCATCTTCCCCCTTGTTTGGTAGATTTATCTGTATGGCCCAGTCTCCCAGATGAGCACTCCTGCATTTTAGGGAAGAGAAAGTCAAACATCAGCTACTGAAGAAAAAAACAGGCCGGCGCCCACTGTTCTCAGTGCTGACCCCTTCTCATCCCCCCCCTTGCAGACATGAGTCTGCTGCCCTAATTAACCCACTCTCCGATTCCCAAACTCCACCATCCTTTATCACCTGAAGGAAACCAAGGCCAGCGTTAACACATTCCTCTTGCTGCCCTCATCTCTGAAGCCTTCCTTAATTCTCCCGAGGTCCCCACCTGCACTGTCCTTGAGGCTGCCTAATTCTCCCTAACTTGCCCTCGGATTCACTTTGACTTTCCTGGTTCCCTCTTCCTATCTGTTAGGAAAAGTTTCGTGGGCACACTTAGCAAGGGGTCATATTCTCTTAGCAGTTGAGTAATGAAAGATCCTCCTTGCTAGCCACAAAGCAGAGAATTACTTGTTAATTTCTTCAAATAACATGGGTTTATCACTGTGAGCAGCAAATCTAGAAAAGGGAATTCAATTGTACATCAGACCAAAGGCTCTAAAAATAAATATTTTGGGGAAGATGATTAAAACCAGCTTGAACAAAATGACCATCTTTAACTCTATCACCTTTCACCCCAGTTGGAGTTTTCCTGGGACTCAGGTAAAATCTCATGACAGAAATGAGCTACAGAATTTGGATGTGAGGACAGTGATGGAGGTGGTGGTGGGGAAAGTGTGCATTCATCTACAGATCATCCAACCAAATCAATCACTTGCAGAGTCTCTGCCCAGATTAATTCCTTCAAAGACTCTGTGACAGGCAGGATGAAACTGCAATACATTTAGACCCACAAACCTAGAAGCATCTTCAACTCTTCCCTCTCTCTCACCCTCCACGTCCAACCCATCATCCATCTTTCAGAGTCTGACTACTAAATATCTGTCAAACCCGCCCACTTCTCCACGCTCCTGCTGTTCCTGCTCTCCTCAGCTCCATCCTCTCTTGCCTGAATGATCTTAACAGGCCCCTAATCAGGCTACCTGCCCCTGTCAATCAACTCTCCCCACAGCATCCAGAGACCTTTTATCAGTGCAAATCTCATGACATTCTCCTGATAAAACCCTTCAAGAATGTGTTTTTCTCCTCTCTTCCCCAGGCCCTGCTTTTGTCTCCAAAGACTAAGATTCTTCATGATCTGACCCCTGTTTATTTTTTTAAAAGATTTATTTTTGTTATTTATGCATACAAGAATTAGGGTATGGTTCAGAGTTGTGGGGGGTGAGAGGATTCACCAGAGACAGAATGGGGAGCATAACAGGCAGATCTATTGAAATACACCGCTGAGGGGAGCAGCAGGCGAGACAGGAGAGGTCTGCTGCGCCATGTGGCTTACCTCCCTGGCTGGGGATCAAACTCATACCACAGTCATGAGTCACAGCTTGATAGTGCTGAGACTTAACCCCTGTACCACCAGGGAGGCTGTGACCCTTGCTTATTGCTCCAGCTTCAATTCTGTGACTAACTGCTCAAGCAGTAGACTCCAGGAAAACAAACTTACCTTTTGCAAAAATAGATCATGTGTGTTTTCACTTTGGGCCATAATGCAAGCTGTTTTCTCTGCTTGAAACAATCTTTCTCACATTCCTTAGTCCCATTAATGAGCTATTTCCTGCCTGAACTATAGGTCTAGACTAAAATATCATCTCCTCTAGAAGGCCCTTACTGACCCTCAAAGCAGCTGAGCACTCTCTTCTCTATCCTTCCATAGCCCCTTGTGCATTCCCACTAGATCCTCTGTGAACCCCAAAAGAATAGGGTCCTGGGTTATCAGAATCCCATTTCATCCCTGGCCCTGGAGGAGAGAACAAAACAGACTCATGATTTTTTTAATAAAAATTTTATGTCTCTGCTTCTTTTTTCTACTTAATGTTAGAGAGACTACAGCAATAGTTTACTTCTGTCTCAAAACTGTCTGATTTTTCCTCTTATGCCAGGGGATTCAGGATCAGCTAGTGTCTCCTCCTCTCTTCTACAAAGACTGCCTGTCAAGGTGATCTCTCTCATTGCATTTTGATAGATTTTTTTTGTTAGCGCCTTCTCTATACCAGTTCATCCCTTGAGCTGTAATTCAATCTCCTGAAAGCAATGTATAAAATCTCAAGACCATAGCATTCTAGTTTGCACCATTTACTTGGTGATCAATCACTGCCTTGTGATATTTTTTACCTTAAATTGTTCTTATTATATTACACAAATTTCACAGCTTTATACATGTTTCCCAACAATATTGTAAGCCCCTTTAGGACTTAATCATTTTGTGGTCCCCTAAGACCTTCCCAATAAGAAACAAAGCACACCTCACAAGGTAAAATATCATTAAGTGTTGAATGAATAAATGAATGTTAGGTACTCAATACAGACTAAATCTGTTTATTTGGGGACCAAAATTTAAAGAATCCACAACAAGAACTGGACTTTAGGAATAACCAAGGCAAAAAACTAAAACTTTTATTTTAAAAAATGTATAAAATGGTCTGGC